AAGATACGATATGGTCCAAGTGGACTGGAAGCAGCTACTTGCAGATAAAACTGTCACTGCAAAGGGAGGCATTCAATGAGGAAATAGCAAGAGTACGGGGTAAATATATTCCTGTACAGACAAAGGGTGGGACCAAGACTGGGATCACTGGAAAAGGAAAGCTATGTCAGACAGTAAGGGTTAAATATGGTAGGAGTGCCTCATGGAGAATAAAAGATGCAAGGAGATCCTGTAAAGGAAATTTGGAAACCAAAGTGAGAGGACGAGAGAGAATTGACTGGTAGAATAAACAAAAACTCAAAGATATTTTTCAAATATATAGCAAACAAGAAAATAACAGGGAAGAGAGCAGGACCCTCAGAGACCATAGAGGACATCTGTGTGGGGATCCAGAAGATGCCACAGTCCTGATTGAACACTCTGCATCAGTCTTCACAATGGAAAAGGACAATGTGGGTATAGACATCAGAGTGGAGGACTGTGAAATATCAGAGGAAACTAACACAGAGAAAGAGGAGGTACTAGTGGGTTTAGAAGCCTTAAAGTGGATCAATCTGCAGGTGTGGATGAGATGTATCTGAGGCTGTTGAGGGAGGCACAGGAGGAGATATCAGAGGCTCTGGAAGTAATTTTCAAATCTCTCTGGCCACAGATGAGATGCCAGAGGCCTGGAGGACTGTTAACATTGTTCAGTTATTAAAACAAAACGTGGATTTCTTAAGAGAAGGTTGGATTTCACAAACCTGATTGAAATTTTTGTGGACCTAACCAGGAGTTTTGATGAGGGGCAAAGCATTTGATATGATCTATGTGGACTTCAGCAAGGCTTTTGATAACATTCCTCATGGCAGACTGGTCAAGAAAGTTAAGAACCTATGGGACCCAAGGCAAAGAGGCCTGTTGGATCCAAAGTTGGCTAAGAGGCAGGAAGCAGAGGCTGATGGTGGAGGAATGTTTCTGTAACTAGGAGTCTGTTTCCACTACATTTCCACAGGGCTCAGGGTGGGACACTTGTGTTTGTGATACACAATAATGATTTGGACATAAATTTACAGGTTATGATCAAGAAGCTTGCAGATGACAGGAACGTGGGAAGGGTGCTACATAGTGAAGAGAGTAACCATAAGCTGCAGGAGGATATCAGTGCACTGATCGGCTGGGCAGTGCAGTGGAAATGGAATTCAAACACAGAGAAGTGTGAGGTAATGCACATGGGCAGGGCTAACAAGGTAAGGGATAGTATTGTTAATGACTGGACCCCAGAAAGTATTGAAAATAAGAGGGACTTTGGTGATCATTTCCACAGATCCTTGAAATCAGCAGGGCAGGTAGATAAGGTGGTTAAAAAGGCATTTGGGATTCTTGCCTTTATAAGCAAAGGCATAGAGTACAAGATGTAACTCATGGAGTTGATCAGGGAACCAGTGGATGTGGTTTATTTGGATTTTCAGAAAGCTTTTGACAAAGTCCTATATAAGAGATTAATGTTCAAAATTAAAGTGCAAGGGATCGGAGGTAGCGTATTGAGATGGATAGAATATTGGTTAGCAGACAGGAAACAAAGAATAGGAATAAATGGGAGATAACAAGGTGTGGAGCTGGATGAACACAGCAGGCCAAGCAGCATCATAGGAGCAGAGAGGCTGACGTTTTGGTCCTAGACACTTCTTCAGAAATGGGGGAGGGGAAGGGGATTCTGAAATAAATAGGGAGAGAGGGGGAGGCGGATAGAAGATGGATA